CTGGACCGTCCTTCCTCGTCGGTTACCACCCGATCCGGCATCGTTCCAACGCCTCCACCGGGTCCCCCGATCCTAACGACCACGTTAGGAGAGGAAAGCGTTGGCAAAACGCGGAGATGACGGAGCGCAAGTGCGAAGTAATCCACGATCGCCTCGGGCGGAATCGAGTTTCCATCCGTTGGAAATCCTGTTCGATGGCCGGGCGTAGCAAGAACCACTGTGGCCGAGCAAAATCGAAGGAAATTGCCGCGGCTTCGATATCCGCGCTGCTGCGATCCGCCTGTCTAAGCGAAAGCGGTCGTGGTGCTCGTTAAACGACGAAACGGGTACCACTTATCCGCTCTAAAGTTTCCGTCCTGTCCTAGGGAAATTGCGCGGACACGACAGCTGCTCTCGGAAGAATAGACGCCATCTTTCGCCATCTTCCGCCATCTTCCCAAGATTTTTCCCCCAGCGAACTAGCGGCGCCCCCCCTCGGTGGTGGTGTGCGATCCACTCCCGATCGTTTAACCGGAGGCCGTCGCGGAAGCTTGGCCGACGCGCGTGGTCCCCGTTAAAAGGAGCATCCACGGATAATTAGGGTGCAACGGCCGACGTGTTCGTGCTGCGTCGCCGAATCAAAAGGGAGCAGTGATTGGTGGCTGGCTCGATGAGCAGCAACGGCCCTTTAAACTGTCCCGTGTCACACGCTGCTGCTCCGGCTCAACGCTTTTTTACCATCTGCCCCTTGTCGGGCATATGTTGCGGGATAACATCGAAAATGATCCGAAACAGGTAGAGGAGAGCCTCTAGGTTTCGACACTCGCTACCCGTCTGTCGGCGGTCACCTGTTGATTTCCTTTAAATCAAAATAATATCACGTTCCGCGCGTTTCCACGCTCCGCGTGTAGCCGGTGCACTGGCTTTTCCTATTCGCAGAGGTACGGCTGTGGGAAAGCTTCTCACCCTTGTTCAGGCTCCAGGGGTGCGACCTTCGATCCGACAGGCGCTAGGGTGACGAACCAACGCGAGAGTAATCCCGACTCTTGCGGTGTCATCCGTCGAAATTCGAGAGGGAAATTTTCACAGCGAGTACTCTGCGATCGAAGCGGTGTTTAGCCCTTTGACTGCGGTGCGCTCTCGGACGAATCCATCGACATGGACGACGCGTTTCTCGCGTGTCGATCGCTGCGACTGCCTGTCCACTGATCAGTGATCAAAAGAGCAGCGTAATACGAAGGCAATTGACTGAACGATATCGTAGGATGGCAGAACTGTGGTCTCGAGACACCGAAAATTCACGAAAGAACAAGAACGCGATAACGCAAACTCAAAACTCGTAAACTGATTTAACTCAGGGAAAGAACACCGAGATAACGAAAACACGCAAAGACGCGCTCTTTTAAAACTCTCTTTCCAACAACAAGCGACTCACGCTTGCGCTGGTCACAACCGATTTCCAAGGACTCTGTTTTGGTTGTCAAGGACCACGCTTTTATGCTTTCCTTAACCTACGCTTCACCTCCCCGTAGAGGAGTCGCGCAACTTGATTTTGTTATATAGAATAACTTTTCGATTTGCTTCTGGAAGATATCGATCGGTTTACAATTTGTTTTCGTTGGCAATAGCCGATTCGCGATTTCTTTTGGTATCCTACAATATTGCATCAATCGCCGATATTTAGTTGCTATGTTGCATAGGGCGATAAATTCCATGTTGAATCGATCGGTAAAACAGTAATAAAGGTGTTATAGTAAAAAGAAAATACAGAGGACGTATATTTACGCCTTTCTTATGTATTGATGGATTCGCGAGGGCGTACATAGACGCCATTAGCAGTGAAAGGGTTGAATCGGTAAAGAGAAAAGAAGCGATTTCCGTTTAGAGATTCTTGTTCAGGGCGCGACGGATCCGCGCCGTGATTCCAACCCTTCCGTTTCCGGTGTCCGTGGACAAATTCCGCGATTACGATCTCGGTTAACAGGAGCGCCTGATCGGCCGACCGAATGGCGGCGCAACCCCCCGTGAGAGTGAGCCCGGTCCCTATTCGCGGAGAGGGGCTGCGTCGAAGCTCGACGCTTGATTTATGAACGAAAATCTCGAGTAAACGCCCGTTTCCGCGCTCCGCCGGGCGTGAAATGACTTTGGGCGAGTTCTGCCGCGAGCGGGCCGTCCTCGTCGCGACAGCGAGCCGGCCGTGCGTGCACTTCCGGCACAGAGAGACCGGAAGCGCTGGCTCATACACCGGCCGTTCGAGTCTACTCTAATTTGACGCGTGGTCATGCGACCTCGATGCAATCACTACTGTAACACCCCGTTCCACGGTTCCTTTTTCTTCCTTAATTTTCTCGCTGAAATGAACGAGACTCGTGGCGCGGCCTCTGGTAACGAGGCAGGCGCTTGTTCACCGTGGGCAGAGAGGATATTCGTCGCAGACGCGTTGCTCCATTGGTTAGCGTAGATGGTACGATTTCAGCGGTAGACTAGCCGGAAACTCATTCCTGTTGCAATCAGTGGCGTCGAGGATTTCAGTGGGCGCGGCCAATGACTCCGAAAACATCGGGAATTAAAGGTTGCCTGCGAGCCAGCAGCGTCGGAAATTACAGCCGCGCTTAGACCAGGCCCACCAGGTCCTTCGAAACGAATTCCTAAAACCTCTCCGACCATCGTGCCGCTTCGTCACAGATTCACAGATTCATCTTGGTTTCTTGAAAACAGCTTTGTAATTCCAACGTTCGTTTTTATTTTTTCCGTTTCTTTGGAGCAATTTTCACGGCGTTTTTCTCGAAGCCGCCAGAAGCTTCGCGTTCACGCTCGCGAACGTATTCCTCGCGTTGCAGCTCGGTAAAGATAGCTGCGAGCCATTTACCGAGGTCGAAGGTTGTCTTATAAATCGAGCTTTTATTGCAGCTCGTGCTAGCGCAGACGAAATGTCTTTTATTCCCGCGATAGGTTCTCCCCTTTTCTTACCGCCTCGTTCCCATCTTTTTATCGCGGAAACCAGTCAGAAGCAGATCAAAAATGTCTCTATTCTCGCGGCTGCAAAGTCGTTGAAACTTTCGAACTCGAGTAATCGAACGTGTCGAGTTGAAAATTCGCGTATTTAGATTAGAATATAAATTTACGTTTAATCGATTTCTCGATATCTCCCCTTATTCCATTTTCCGCAACATTCGCCTTTCATTCCTTCGTCCGCCATTAAGATTAAAAATTCTCGCGTTCGGATTTAAAAATTGAAACGTTTAAACTCCTATCGTTTTCTCGCGGGGGTCATTTCGTACCGTTTATATTCGAAAATCTTGCGAAATACTTAATACGGTTTTATCGGAAATCTCGTATTTCGCGTAATAGTGGGCAACGAATTAAAAACTGCGATACGCGTCGAGCGAAATCGACCGATAAGGCTCGAGAAGAGCAGATAGAAGGAAAAAAGCGGCCTCTCGTTCCCTCCATCGCGATTTTTGCTAATTAACCACGACATAAGCTCGATATAGCCTCGCTGGTGGAGCGCAGATTAGCGCATCGCTCTCGAAAGATACGTCGGTGCGCGCCTCCTCGCGGAGACGTTGCTTTTGTCCAGCCTCCACCTCCTCCACCTCCTCCACCCTTTATTGATTCCAGATATTCAGATCGTTTTTTCTTACGTTTATCGCCAATCGAGAACCACTGCTCAGAATAAACCCGTCGATGACCTTACTCAGATTGAGTCGCCATACGCGTGGGCGTTTTCTTTTTTTCCTCTGCCGATTATACGTGAAGCGAAACGATAACCCAATTAATGACGATAACGTAATTTGTGCGAATTTTTTTTCGGCAGCGGAATTCTCGAAACGAGATCCAGTCCTTTTGTAAACAATCGTTTATTTTCGAGCGCGATAAAACTGCTCTATCGACAGTGGCCAGTGTGCCCGGTTGCCCCGCGTCCAGTGCCCACCTTCAAACATTAAGCAACGCGTTAAAAATGTTAAGCTCCTTTCGATAAATTAGAAATATAAAAAAAAGTCCTGTATTACCTCATTCGTTTATCTATGCAACGAGCAAAGATTTATTCGCACGCTACAAAGTCAGCGAGACGATGCACGAGGATAATAGATAGAAATGTAAACACGTGGGTAATAATAATAGAACCGTAAACGTTAGGTAATGATAAGCGGATACACGGGTAAAGTAGAGGCAATTAAGCGCGATGCCCAGAATCGTGATGCAGAGCACTCTATATCTCAGTCGTGAAAACGTTGACGTCTCCTGGGAAAAATTTAATCTCCTTGAGAATTCATTATCCGAGTTGTTGACATTGCGTGTTTATAAACTTACTTTGCTTAAATTTAATTGAAATTTTCGCATAGAAAGTAGACGATAGCAGTGGACTGCTGACTGCTGAGCTGACAATATTTTTAGACTCGGTCCGCCATTGTTTATCGACAGCGTTACCGTTCTGTTTAAATTAAATTAAATTATATTAATGGAAATCGAAGTCTCTTGTATTTCTATAAAATAAATCCGAACGGTTTGATCGGCAGCGAACAAAATCGAAAAGACTTGCTTCACGATGAAATTTTCACCCCCGATCGTTGTACGGCCTCGAGTCGCTGTTTATAAGACGGATTTATCAGAAGCTTTCATTTATCGACGCAGACAGTCGGGTCAGCCTGTCGGCGGAGACACGAGCGAGACACGCACACGCGGCGCCGCGTGCAGCTGTGCGCGAAATTGATGCCGTGCCGCCCGCTCATTTGCAATTTCTACGTAAGACGCGCTAGTTATTACCGGACAGCGCGATCAAAAATTCTGCCTACGGAAAAAGACGGTAAGACGATAAACCGGCGACCGATACCGAGCAACTGCCGCCAATCCTGCACCATTGGGCAAATAAACCAAGACGCGTGTACTCGCATCGATTTCAGGCGACAGAATTTGTCCCTGATTCGCCTACGATTCCGCACCCTATCGTCATCCACGTGGACTAGCTTTACGACTGTTTTCTTTCAGCACAATGCACGCACACGTTGTGTTCGATATACTTCGGGTTCGAGTTTAAATTGGGATAAGATGATAGGTTTATTTACGTAGAGACATTGGGGATCGACGTATATACTTGACGCGCAAAACATTAACGAAAGTTCGCAAATTACGCGATAAGTTATATAACATAGACAATTAAAAGATTAATCGGTGGAACTACGAAATTCTATTTATCTTAAATGCGTTGTAATAATAATGACGCTTTGATTAAGTGTCGTTCGTTCTCAACGTGAACATCAGGTGTCCGAAATTGAGTGCTGTGTCCAGTTCCATTATGACTCGATGACCGGTTTAATTGACGTCACGGTTTGTGTACGGGTGTCTAAGCGGTTGGAACGGAACAGTGGCTTTTATCGTAGCGATGAAAAGAGTGTGAGTTTTCTTTCTGCCCTCTCAAAGTTCAAAGGTTCGACCGATAATACGTTCACTCGCCCGACATCTTCGCTTAACAGATAACAAATCTGCTTCGCTTATTTATATTTGAAGTAACCACGTGTTTTCGATACTTTCTCGCTTTATCGCGTTTCCTTTAACGCGATCGTTTGAGTTCGTTTGATGATGTTATTGACAATGCGATCGCGAAACGGAATCGTCCATCAAATCTGTGCGTTTCACGAGAGATCTTGAAAATTCTGACAAACCAGTGGAAAAAATAAAATGTTCTATCTTTTTATTGTACCCACGTTTTCACGTTTTCAAGAGAAACAAAATTACTAGCTGAAATATACGAACATCTACGTTTACGTTATACTAAGTTGTCATATATTTTATCCTGCCATGTTACTGCCTGATGGTAAATAAATTCCTAAATTATCGATTAAACATTTTTTTTGTAGTTTGTAGTGCCATCTCGTGAGAACTTGTTTTAAACTCCTCAAACGCAAACCTATATATTCGATTTTTGGTATATCGATTACTCGATATTACCATTGTAGATATTATTCGAGTATATAGTTCATTTTTGTAGCAGACGAAAAACATAACCTTTTGTTTCTGTATACGCGATTGTTATTGAAAATCCGAATGAATTAGAATAAACGTTACTTGTCATTGTGTTCATAATGGCGAATGACAGGGAGGTGCTGAGAGAAATTTGGGATGGTAAAATTCCTGTTTGCTTCACGCTTGATTCCGAGGAAATATGTGAATTGCAAGGACCTGACCCATTTTATCTTATGGTACCTAGGTTAAGTTATTTTCCACTCTGCACAGATAAGGTAAACAATATAAATGAAATGTTATCGTTAAGACGTATATTTATAACTTTTTATTACTTTCTTTTATATTTCCCCAATTAGATACGAAAACATTTTATAAAACATGTACAAAGTGACAGTAAGCAGGAGCATGAAATGTGGTTAGAATTTAATGGAATTCCAATAAAATGGCACTATCCAATCGGTGTTCTGTTGGATATTTATTCGAATGATGTTGAATTACCTTGGAATATCGTTGTTCATTTTGATAGGTTTCCAGAAAATGTGTTAATGCATTGTCAAAACAAGTAGGTGTATGTAAATTTAATTTGATATTTATCTACAGCAAAGCATTTGACTGGAATGAATTTGAATTTTAGGGAAGTAGTAGAGGCATATTTTCTCTCTTGTATAAAAGAAGCAGATGTATTGAAACACAGAGGTCAGATTGTATCTAGTATGCAGAAAAAAGATCATAATCAGTTATGGTCTGGTTTACTCAACGACAAGTTTGACCAATTCTGGTCTGTGAATCGAAAACTTATGGAAGCTAGTAACACGGAAGAAGGTTTTAAATATATACCATTCCGGTGTTACACGAGCGAGGACAAATATATACAAAAACTCGTAAAACCTGTCAATGAAGAGGGTCAAAGAAAAACATTGAGGCATTTATTAAGCGAAGTATTCCCAGACAGTGAAAATGGTAAATATTTATTTGATCTTATGGATACGAGTTTTATATCCTGTCCAGTATATATGTATATATATTGTTTGTAGTTACAGTGTTCACTCATGGTATTTCCCCACCTTTGGAAACGCCGCTTCAGTGGATGTCAGAACACATGAGTTATCCTGATAATTTCTTGCATTTGGTTGTAATATCATAACCCAAATTGAAAGAGCCAGGTGATTAACTATCAATGAAACTAACATAAACCGTGAGTTCAGTGCTGTTTTCTCTTGCCAGTTTTACTGGCAGCATAATTAAGATCCCTTTGCTATGGATCTTTTTAATCTTTACGTGTTTTATCGCATATTTATTTTATAAGAGCATCGTAACGTTACTCTAATTTCTTTAAACAAAAAAAAAAAGAAAAATAAAAAAGAATAACCATTAAATATGAAGCCATTATTGTTGCTTGTATTCTTGTAACGCACGAACATACGCAAATTGTATCGTAATTGCAACATTGGACCTGTGTTAAGATCAGATCGACATCGGACCACATTCATTATAGATCGATCTAATTGTAATTCAATTAATAATAATATATCCGAAAGAACATAAATTGTATAAATATAATTATATAAATATTTAAACAATCTTTTATGTATATAAACATACGTATTGCGACTTGTACTCGATACCATAGAATCAATGCGAATATTTTCACGGAAACGAAACGAAAATGAACTAATGCCATAGTTTAGAAGGAGAGAGAAACAAAGATAGGAAGAATATTAAAGATGCCAAACAGTAAAATAAAGAAACGGTCCTTTAATTTACAATCGAGAATAATAATTGAATCATAAATTAATTTATTGCACAACTATCCCGAGGCTTTCGATATATCCTCAATATTTGCGAAGATATGGTACTATCGTTGCGAGTTACCAAAGAGCCTGTTGGTCTCCGCACAATAACAGGATGGTTTCCGTAATTACTGTATTCCATGGTTCTGCGGCTCGTTCCAAAAGTTAAATAGTTTACAACTTCCTCCTTCTTACTTTGCTGTTCCTGTGACGCAAACATTAACGAGCCATTCGAATAATTACTACTTGGAAAAATGTACATAACTATATACGCTAGGCTTTAAGTTTAAATAGGAGATTAATAAAGTATTTAATATTGTTTTTATATTTAATTACAATCGAGAAATAGTATATTTTATTAATAGACCCGTGCGTCGTAAATAAACTATTACTTGAAATATAGTTAGGGCTGCGTCTTGGTATCTCTTGTGAATCTCTTCCTTAGTCAGTACGATCTTCACCTCGGGCGATTCATAACGGTCCGTCATTTACAATTATTCTTCGTTATACGCTGACTGGAAAATCTGTAACACGGATCTACAAATTAAAATTACGTCGTTCGATTGTAGTCCACAATTGTCAAAAAAAAAAAAAAAAAAAAAAAAAAAAAAAAAAAAATGCTTCTGCACAACGAACCAGCAAAACCATCGGCAGAACAGGAAGATTCGTGCTCTGTGCCTTCGGAAGACGATGTCTACCAAAAGAGAGTGAAATAAAAGACAGTGAGAGAAAAAAAAAGAAACGTGTTCAAAGGAGAACGGGAGAACGAGAACAAGCAGGAGAAACGGTGAAGAGAAGGCACACGTTTGTCTAGGGTAAAAATAAACTCTGGCTGGACTTTCACAACGCAGTAAACACTATCTTCTCACTGTTTTCAAAATTAATATTCTCCACTGTGTGTTCGTTCTTTTTCTGTTGCTTCACGATCACGACTTTCTTTGTTCTATTGCTTCAAGAAAACGCGAGTATTTTATAGCTAGTTGTTATCCTGTACAATAGTAATCGTTTATAGGCTAATCGTTGAAGGCCTCTTCAACGCCAAATGATCGTTCGGAATGATCGTTATTTCGACTTTATAACGTAAAATTATTCCACTGCTGTTTCAGTACCGACTGCGTTTCACGAGTAAATCTAGAACGATTCAAATCGAATACAGGAATATGTGGCATGTATACCGGCGAATTAATCACGGTACTCAACTCTCTTAAACTCTCGAAGACCGATGATCAAATCAGCTACGCTTGCTTCTCAAGATCGTTGAGAACTTATGAGCACTGTCCGACGATATCGGCGGATGAAAAAGAAGTACACGGTAAGAATAATCAAGGAAACCCGAGACTTTGTCGCCACGTTGATCTTTAACTTGCAAACAGAAGACACGTTATTCGTCTATTGGATGGAAGCCAGGAACTTTTTGGTATCCCTTTCGAATTTCCGGTTGTGAACGCCAAACGTGTGGAATCTCGTGGTGAATTTTTCAATGTTGTATACAGTGATATATTACATTCGAATACGAAACGATTCGCTAAAGGACAGAGATATGTAACTGTATAACTTATTAGGAAAATTAACGCGTCCGCTCGAAAAAAATATTTATTTGTGAAAATATACGTTCAAAGTAAATACGCAATTTTAATGCAAATTTTAGTTACATGTGCTACCGTACCCTTCCTAATTGCACTCCACCAGTCAGTGGCATTTATTGGCGTTGATTGAAGCGTTGCATCAGTCATACTTTGATTCAAGGTCCGCTTTGCCCGCACGCGGTGGCCTCAATAAAAACGAATAATATCGTTATTGCGATTTAATATATGGAGCTACCGATAAACATCGTTAATTCTTTAATACATACTGAATAATTGGCCAGAGGGAACGTAATTTGCAAACAGAATTATCGTAAATTCCGTTTTCTTGCTATTTACCACTTTAATTATGTCAAATGTTTTTAAGCTAATTGCGTATCGAGAAACGCAATACAGTCTACAACAGAGAACGATAAGATATTTAATAATCTTTCGGAGAAACTATAGAGAAGTATCGATAAATCAGAGTAACTGTACTGCCGCCGTCGATAACGCAAATGCCTGTAATATGCGATAACGTTAAGAGTCTTCCGAAACGTACGGTGCGATGGACAAGTTCTAATTATTAGTTATTTCGATTCGATCGGTTATAACGTTCGCTCGAGAGATACATAAGAATACGTTGCGTCACGTGCACGTGCGCAGCTGTTCGCAGCACATTTTTCAGTCTCGTAAGTTCAAAGAAACATCGAATAAGAACTGCATCTCATTTCTCGTTTCGCGTTATATCATCCTACGCTCTAACGGTGATTAGGAATAAAAATACATTTGTCGTCCCATAAAAACCAATCGCGTTTTACGGATAAACGAGCGTTTAGCAATTCAAAGGAAGAAAAGAATAAAAAAAGTTGCTTCCTTTACGTCATTTATCGACGCACAAGTGCATACTCGACGAACAGCAATTGCACGGAGCGCAGGCAGGCGTGCGATTGCGTGCTTAGAAAGTTTAGCGGGTACGTGTGCGATCGCCGATCTGCGGATAATACCAATCAACCACGATAACGGAAACAATGCATCGGTTGCATCGGTCGCAGATCGCACGATCGTATGAGTGTGCATCCAACGTGACAACTTTCAGTGCACGGGTCTCTATGACTTGGCTTCCTCTTATCTCCGGCATGAGTCCACTTCAAATGCGACGGAATTACTCAAAAACACTGGGAAATCGTACTTATTTTAACGACACGCGTTTGACGTCGACGGTATATCTCGAAGTTTCTAACCTGCATCGACAAACACTCGCGACTAGCGAATCCCGTGTTCTTTCGAATCGTACCTAACCTAACCCGAAACAGAACAGCGCGATGATATTTCACAAGTTCGTCGACGTGCATTTCCACGGATAAGATTAAAATTTTTCTTTAAATCTCGTTTCAACAATAGGTACGGTGATAACGCTCGCAATATTTTTCCGAACAATTCCTCTCGACATTACTCGAAACGTGGAAGCTTCGTTCCCCTTGCCAGAAGAGGGAGACGGCGTGCGGGATAAATTCACGTGGACAATGGAAATATCACGAACCAGATAAGGCGTAAACGCGTTATCTGCTATTTCCTCGTTCTTAAATTTATAATTATGTTTTCGTGCTCGTTAGACGAATCGATAGGTCGGACAATAAATAGCAGGTCGGGGCAAGATCGAGATCAAAAGACAGTACCGCTACTTCGAAGTTGACTTGTACATCGGCGCGTGTATCTCCGTACCACTGTGTCAACTTTCCTCGTATTATCAGTTCCTCGGTTATCTCGAGACGCTCAGTCTGCCACGCGTGTTCGTACCACGGAGAAATGCATATAATCAACCGCGTTTTCACAATCGGTTAATCTCTCGCGATGCCAACTATTATTCGACGTTCGGGTTAGGTTAGCGTGACGAAGCAAAAATTCGATCTGAATTTCGCGTATCGTCCGCGACGAATCTTCGTTAAAGGGAACGTCGCGAAGGTTAAGAGGAAAGGAATGCGGTGCTATAGTAGTCACTGCGAAACAAACATAAGCGAGGTTTCTTTTAAAATAGTCTCTTATATTTCCTTTCAAATTCTCATAATCTACGCGTGTGTATATAATACAATATTTAATACAATCATTTTTGTTCCTTCGGGCGTACAAAAGAGAGAAAAAAAAAAAAAAAAATAAAAAAAATGAAAGATAAGGGAAAAACGACACATCGACGTTGCCTGTCTCTCACCGTACATTAAGATCGTTCTCAATCATTCTCTCTCCCTTTCACTCCGAATAATTCAGTCTCTCCCTCTCACGCCGTCGCTGCATTGCTCTCGATGAATCACAATAACGGATATGCTCGATAATCGGGCGAATTTTGCCGAGGATTCGAGAAACGCTGTCGCGCGACGCATCGAGTATCTCCGTTTCGCAAAGAGAAAAATAGATAAGCCACGGTGGCGAGGTATCGGTGATTCCACTCGACCGTCGCGCTTCTGGCTGCCCCTCCCGGCGAGGGGACGCCGCCATGTTTTTTCTCCAGCTTCTCGGTCAACCCTCAGAACGAGTGCACGTCCGACCAACGCAGTTTCCCATCTGTTGCTCGCGTGCTTCGTGGATATTTATTTATCGCGCGAGTTTAAATGCTAACCGATCGGAACGAATAATTGGGCATGCGCAGTGTGGACGGGAAGAATGAAGGTGCACGTGGAAAGGAGACGAACGAGAAGAGAAAAAGATAGAGTCCGTTCGATTTATACGAGATGTTGATCGATCTGGTTTATTGGGCGAAGAACAAAAAAGACAAAATTGAAGGAAAGAAACAAAATGGTGGTTTTCGTTCGACGCGGTCGAAATAGCGACCAATAAATAAACGAATAAATCTGAATACTGATATTATTACACGCTTGGACGAGTCACCGGTGTTCTCTTTCGCGGAGCGTATCCTTGCCAAGAGCCGCGCGGGAACGCTTCTTCGCCGCGGAGAGGACGCGAAAATACGTGGCTCGTTCTAAGGACGCGAGACACTTTGGTCCTTGATTCCTGCTCGCGCTGGCGAAGCTATAAGGCACGAGCGATCTCTAAAAGGCACCGGGCGAGTTATCAGGCGCTTCGTTCATACGTTACATGTACAACTCGATATTAAAATATAATAACTATGTATACATATACATATTTATATATAAACTCGCTCTGTCTCTAGCTTTCAACGCTGTATATAGAAATTTCTTTGTACATATACGATACACGAGCATTATGCTTGCAACGTAATTATTCGTGTGTAAGTGTGTGAGTGTGTGTATGGTTCTTGCGTATACGCGTCTCTGCCTACACGTGGGTTTAAAACGCGGAGGCTCGCCCACCAACTTTTTCCCCCCACCACCACCGAACCCGACCGTTCATTCCCTTCCTACAAGACCCCCCTCCGCCCCCCGCGCCATCCGTTCACACAGTTTGATGCACTTAAAAAATATTGCTTATACAATGCTTTATGCCTCGTTTAATAGACTCTTGTGGGCTGTGCACACGGAACACACGCGTGCGCACGTTCGAAACGCGCGCCGATACACACGCACAGGCACTCGCGCATTTATTTCTCGCACTATCGAACACGCTTTCTCTCTCTCTCTCTCTCTCTTTCGCTCTCTCTCTCGTCAGTCGGTTCGACGCTACGTTTATTATGTAAAACGCTGTTATGGCATTATGTAATTCATTATGGCTTAAGATTACGCTATATTTTATTGTACATTGCCACCTTGACCCCATCGGCGAACGCGGACAAGGTTAATACGGTTTCTTCTCCCGTCTTCGCCATTTCCGATTCTCGAGGCGGACTCGCGACGGTGGAAAAAATTTCGCGAGGAAATCGTGGCGGAGAAACCGGGACAAAGAGGTTGAACTTAGCCGCGGGCGGAAACCCTCGTAGCGACGCGCTTCCTGCCACCTAGAGGCGCGCAGGTAAATATCGTTGACCCGCGCATCGCACCGCGCATCTCACCGCGCATCTCACCGCGCATCGCGCCGCGCGAGCCAACGCCAGTGCATCTCGCTGGCCGATAATACACGCGGCTGTCGCAACGCGTGCGAGATTAGCCGCGGCTGGAACGAGCTCCATTGGGCCTGAATATTGAAACATCGACGTAACTGCACCGTCTGCGATGGTAATTTACAAAATTGCCCTTCTTTGCCAGCGACGCGCTCAATTGCCGTATCGCTGACCGTTCGTGGAACGCTATTTTCGGTTTCCCGTCCGGGGGAAACTTTCTCGGCGGACCGTATTTTCGCAGACTGCGGCGCGCGCTGTATTATCTCGTTCCAATCGGATCCAGCGGATAACGATCGATTATCGGGGGCAGAAAACGGAACGAGGAATTTCCGATTTTTTTCCCGCGAACGGCTGCTGATTCACGCGGCAGACGCTTTCTTCGCCACGATAGAGCTCGAAGGTCGCTCGGACGATAAGGACGAGCGCGTTATCGACTCGAGAATCTCGAAATCAAGCCGGGATGCCGCGAACCGGGAGAACGTACGAGCTCGGAACGACGTAAACGCGTGAATAATTTATAAGAATAATTAAGAACATTTTCTCGTGGTACGTTTCGCGAGCGAGTGCGCTAGTCTAAATTAAAATCGCGACACAATCGTAACCCTAAACACTCGATATGCTAAACGACGTTTGCGTCCCTGTGTGATTCTAATGTCTACGTTACATGTATATCGCGTAAGGCACGCGGGTATTTCTTTCTGCGCAGCGTTCTCTGTCTTTTTCAAAGCCTCCCCCTGCGATCAGTCTCGTTCGTGGCGGACCTCCTCGTCGAGAACGTCTAACCAACCGACGAATCGTCCCCATCTAACGTTCGATTGTCAAAATTTCCCCGACTAACAGCGACTCGATTATGTACAATTACTTTGTTGCGTTATTTTTCCCAATTTCCCCTCCCGTCTTTCTTCGTCTCGTCGGTTTCCACAACGGAGTCGAGACACAAATTTGTACAAAATATAGCTCTATATATATATGTATATATATATATATATATTTACGACTAATAATCTACGTGTAAGTTCGTTCTAAATCGGATTACGCGTTCGCTTTAGGATCAGCGAGAAGAAAGGCACGGATGGCGGCCTCGAACGGAAACGGTTACGACAAATTTCTCGCGAAGTCCTCCTTCGACCTTTCGTCCCTTTCCTTCTCCCTCGAGATCGCGAACTCGATACAAAAATAGCCACGAATGGGGCGGCCGCGAGCGCGGGGTTCGGACCGCGCCGCGCGCGAGGACGCGCGCGATTCGTCGGCGTGGATCGGTGAAAAATTCGTGCCCCGTCGGCCCGATCCTCCCGCTGCGTTGCCGTATTTACATATATTTACAAGTAATCGACGGAGAAGGAAGGAGACGAGAGAGCCCGCGGGAAAATCGCGCGCCGGTCGCTAGAGGGGAGAGAGTCGGGGAGAGAAAAGAGGGGAAAAACGGAGACGAAACCCTGTCGTAATACTTGCGCAGCGTGCGTGGCGCACGAGTGCGCGGGTATGGAAGAAATTCTTTGAGCAATTAAACGATATCTAGAGATCGATCCTCGATCGGACGCGAAACACGAAGATGCACGGTGTGGCGACCGACGGGACCGTCGTCGAATCGTGAGAGAACGGGCAAGGAAACAACAGTGTCCGTCTCCCATGGTCGATCTCGAATCGATCGAGGGTCTTCCGCGAGAGCGATTGGCTGAAAAATAATGGCGGTGTCGCCGCGTCGTTACGCAACGGTGCGGCGGCGCGCTAGGCAAACCACACCGGCTTTTCCTCGTGATCGGTATCGTTCAGAGACTGACATAATTCCGTAATTATAGCGATCGCACACTCGACCTCTAAACGGCCTAGCCGATAGCCGACCAACGGGCTAATCTCGCCGATAAAGCACGGACAAGAGAGAAAAAAGTTCTCCGCGCGTATCTCTGAATTTTCACGCGAGGTGCGGGAGAAGGGTGGGGGCGGCGGCGGAGAAGGAGGCAGGAGAGGGGGGCGAAGGAGCTAGGAAACCTTGGAGGGCGCGGGAGGGACAGAGCAGATCTGAAGAAGTTGGAAGATGCCGACCGAAGACGCGACCGCGTATAATCTCCTTCCACATCCCGGCTCGGCCAATGGTCGATTAAGACTTTATCGTGATGTATAACGCGACACCGGCGATCGAGGAAACGATAAACGCTTACGTGGCGCGCGACGTGTCGTAGATCACGTACCGATCGATCCTGCACGGGTAAATCCTTCCCGGGCGATCTTCGCTGTCCCACGAACGCGTACGAAACTTTTTCTCCTCCAGCGCGAACAGAACGTTGATGATACCTCAACGGGTTTCGAGTTTTGCCGAATCGAATATCGCGGACTGGCGGTTATCGGCCATTTCGTTTAATCGGCGAATATCGTGCTGCGTCGCGCTAATTCGGACGAGTCGATTACCGTGCAGTATGGCGCGACGACGAAACGTACCGATGCCTCCGTTTCGCGGAATCGAGGATCGAACGAGTTTTCCAATTAAGTATAATGAGGACTCGCTGGATATCTAACGAACGCACTCCTGACCTGCGGGAACTCGGTGTACGGACCCGGATGAGTCCTCCAGGATACCGGCAATCTCAAGCTAAGCTCGAGCGCGTAATCGTGGCCCCTGCTGCCTTCGTTCAGATTACAGATATTTTGGCAGTTATTGTTGTTGTTGATGATGATACTCTGACTACTGACGGGCGACAAACCCCTCTGGATCGAGTTCTCCTTGGCGGGTTTGCTCACGGGATTGTCCAAATAGGGCTTGAACAGGATGGCGTCCTTCTTCAACGTTGGTCCCGGAGGCGGAGGCGCGGTGGACGCCGGCGGCGTCGGCACGGTGCTCGTGACCGGCTCCGTCCTCGACGGAGAGGCGTCGACGAGCCTCTTTGGCTTCACCAGACAGAGCGGCGTTTCCTGAGGAGGCACTTCTTGGCAGGAATTGGTCCTGGTGGGATCCTCGGCTTCCAGGCAGAGCCTTTTCGGCGACGACGACGGAAGCATCTCGTAGCAGCAGGAAAGGGCACAGTGCTGCCTCTTCAACGGCGAGGACAGTTCTTCCGAGGGCTCGGGAACCGAGGTGATCTCCGAGGAATATTCTCGAGGGGAATAACAGTACCTGGTCTGCGAGTCGGAGTAGCAAGATCCTCTTAAGGAGGCTTCCTGGTAGCACGAAGCGACCGGTGTCACGGCGTGGCCTTCCATACAGCAGGAGAGATTGCAAGAAACAACGGGCTCGCTCTCGGAAGATACATCGACCGCGGCGGGATGCTGGTAGTATGGAAGATGCTGCGAAGAGGAGGAACCAACGTCGCAACAGTAAAGAGGCGGAGGCGATCGTTCGTACTCGGCTTCGATTCGATCCTGAGATAAGCTGGAAACGTAGTTCGACGTCCTCAGATCTACCGGTGAGTCACCGGAAGTGGCATCCTGGATGGGCCCGAGTCGTTGCCTAGAATTTCCACGAAGAGCGATCTCGCCGCGCAACTCCGTCTCTTGACCCAGCCATTTTTGTACCTGTCGCCGATTTATGCCGAATTTCCTGGCAGTGGCGCGTTGATTGCCCGCCACGCCGACGTCCCGATGGAAAGCGTCGAGAACGTCCAGCTTGAACCGCAGAGAGAAAGATCGGCGACGGGCGAGATCGTTGGAGGAATTGTGACTACCGGACGAGCAATCGAGAGGATCCATTTCGCTGTCGGAGCAACTGGTGCTCGATCTACCGGAGCTGGTCGGACCTCGAGGGCTCGAGGGCAAGGAGTATCCCCCCTCGCGATCGTGCACCGGGCTTACCGGACACGAATCGGCCAGTGTCGAGGTAGCAGCAGGTGGTCGCTGATAATCGACGTACGAGGATGCAACGACAGCATCTCTTCCCTCCTCCGCGCTAGCTATGTCCTCCTCTTGCTGGATTTCCTCCTTGACCACCGCCCTACCGATTTCTGCCTCCTCCGCGAGGTCCTCCGCCGTTCCCTTCTCTCCGATACGAGCCGTGTTCGTTTCCTTCGACTCTCTCTGCTGCGATCGGTGCAGGGACGGGATCGGCTTCTCGGAATCCGGCGTTGGTGACGCGTGTGCGTGTGCGTGTGCGTGTTCGTGCACGTGCACGTGCAAGCACGGACTCGCGGAGGACCGTGGGGAATCGAAGTGAACGGACGTGGTGGAGCTGGAGCTGGAGCTGCTAGAGTTGGAACCGGTGCCGTTGGCTGGATGCGAGACCGGAGAGAGTGGGACCCTCGAGACACCGGGGGAACCCGTGGACTCGCACGGCCCTGGCGTCGCCGCCGAGTCTGGGCTCGCACGTTCCGTCTTTATCATCGACGGCGCTAGCAGCAATCCGTACGATGATTTCCCGTCCATCGACGAGTCCACGTCCCCGTAATTTTGCTGAGATCGACGATGACCGGACGGCGGCGAGGAACGATGCCGATGCATCGACGACGTTGCCACCGCGATCTCGCTCTCGTTACCGTACCGATGTTCCTGATGATGAACGGGCACTCGATACGCTGTCAGGGTCTGGTACACCTTCGCCTCGTTTCGACCGTCAAAGTTCTCGAGTTCTCGTTGCCCGTCCGAATTTAGAACGTAGTAATTAGGTTCCTGATCCGCGCGTGTCTCCGAGTAACCGTGAACGTCCACCGTTACCTGTACTCGATCCTCCGCCGCTTCTCGACGATGGACGTGATGTTGCTCCGAATTGACAGAATATTCTTGATATCCCAGACGAACGGACAAAACCGGCGCCGTTCCGGATTGAGAAGCATATTGGGGCGAAGAGGGTGAACCACCATGAGGAGGATGAGAAAGAAGAGGTGGGGGCCCTTGCTGTGTAGCCAGCTCGTCGCCGTGCAGTCTGGCGAGGCTGAGGTTCAAGGCCGGCGCTGCTGGAGTCACGGCAGGCCCCGTGGCTTCCGTCACGGTACCGTCCGGCTTGGAAACACCCACGGGAGAGATCACCGTTGTTGAGACCACTCCGGTATTTCCAGTCTCGGCACAACTGTTTCTCAAATTATCCTCGCACTGTAACCACTTTTGTATCTGACGTCGATGAATTCCGTACTTCCTCGCGGTGGCTCGCTGATTTCCACGACAGTCGATGTCGTTTCTGTACGAATCGAGAACCTTGAGCTTGAAGGCCGGCGCGAATATCCGTCTGCTTCCCATCACACCGACCGATTTCCTCGGGTTCTGTTGTTGTTGTTGTTGTTGTTGTTGCTGTTGCTGTTGCTGCTGCTGCTGATGCACCGATTGCTGTTGTTGCTGTTTCTGATGCACCATTTTCACCGTGCTTCCCTCACCGAGCACCTCGCTTACGCCATGAGCCATAACGCGTATTTCACGCACCGAACTCTTTCGCAGCGTGACGATGATCGTCACGTCGAACGCGAGAACGAGAACGACGGCGACGATGACGACGATGAGCTTCGAAACCGGGCACTGCCAACGACGCACGGGGGTACCTTAACGCGTAACATTGCACGAAGTGGCCTGGCCGCGCCGCGCACGGAGTTCCTTTTAGGTCTTGGTAGATGCCGTAACTAATTTTCATCCCCACCACCAGCCACGACTGCGGCTGCTTCCCACTGAAACGATCTTTCCCTTCCCCTCTCTCGTCGACAGCACGCTCTCTCGCTCTACCGTCCCTCGCCGCGCGCTCCCCTCCTCGTTGCCGCACTCTCGGTCTCTCACCGTGCTGCCCCCACTCCGTTCGACCGTACTCTCGCCCTTTCTCTCTCCGCGCACCGGCCCATCGATTCTCCGTCCTTTTCCCGCTATCCAGTAAGCGCCCCGCGACGTCCCGACATCCCACTCGAGTAGCACAGGCGCTAGTCCACCGCCGCCGGCCACCAGTCATTCTTCTTTCTTTGCGCCACCGACCTAACCTCCACCAACTTCTCTCTTTCTACACGGCTCTCGTCATCCTGCCTGACTGCCCGCACCCGTAGGCGCCCGTGCTCGTCTGACTGCCTGTGCCTGCTCGTTCTCTCCGCGCACCGGCCCATCGATTCTCCGTCCTTTTCCCGCTATCCAGTAAGCGCCCCGCGACGTCCCGACATCCCACTCGAGTAGCACAGGCGCTAGTCCACCGCCGCCGGCCACCAGTCATTCTTCTTTCTTTGCGCCACCGACCTAACCTCCACCAACTTCTCTCTTTCTACACGGCTCTCGTCATCCTGCCTGACTGCCCGCACCCGTTGTCTGCCGTGCTCGTCTGACTGCCTGTGCCTGCTCGTTCGCTCGCTCGCTGCTTACCAACTCTCGAGCCGCGCTAGCCAGCATGGAGCCGTGATTTTTGCTCGCCTTTCTCTCCTCGCAACTTGACCGTGCCTTTTCTCGGCACCGGGCTAGCAGCTAGCATATGCTCTGCAGAATTTCCCTCTAACCGTCGAATCGCGCTCGAACCCATCCAAGGAGCGTCGAAAAAATAGCAGACGCGACTCGAGTTACGATGTTTTCTCGTGCGGCTGAGATTAGGCGTGTTATCTAGGTTAAATCGTTGAAGACCTACGTCAGACATCGCATACGGTACGATTCTTGAAAGTTTGCCGTACCGAGCGCCAACACGGCGACCGTCGTCTAGGAAGTTTTATTGGCATCGAATGAGGGGAAAGGCCGGTGAGGCAAGGGGATTTTGCCTTCCAGGAAAAATGCCCGTGGCCGTGTCAGCTTTGCTGGTATTGGTAGTCTCGTTAGGGTTGAGGAGTCGTTCCTATTATAGCCCCGGTCGAGTAATGCGATCTGTATTGTTCTTTGCTGGTTATTACCAACATTCTCTACCTTCCTTACCGTTACGAGTCACTGCCGGCCGGTTATTCATAGTTTCCATCGCCTTCTTATTTTTCATTTCTCCAGTCCCCGTATTCACCTCTAGTTATCGCTGAATGAGATTTCGAAGCGTGCATACGGATCACACGTTCCTCGCATATACGTAGTGGAATGAGATCATGTTGTTTTTGTGGCGTGAGCCGACAGTTAATATGTTTAGCTTTACGCGCGGTTGCCATGTCGCTGAGCTGCACGTAGGCCGCAACGTATACGGACGCGGAGAGACCTGCGAGCAATGACGCAAGCCGCGTGTTAGTATATACTTTGAAGAAACAAGAGCGAGCGAGACGGCTCGCGTAGAAAGAGAAACGAGCCGAGGCCTCGTAAATTTCCACGATTCGCGCCACCAGCAGAAACCGAGACCCGACCGATCCTCCTGTGGTTCCACGAAGGAGCACCCTACTGCATTTCTAAGAATCTCGCTGGTTATTCTCGCTCCGTCGATCATACACCGACTCCGAGCCCCTCCTAAATACATCTGACAACCACTAACGTCGTGACGAGAGGATACCTGCCTCTCGAGCACGATCCGACCTTCACATAGTTTTACGAGCGTGCCTCATCTTTTCGGTATTTCACCTTTCGTTCGTTAAACGAGTCGAATTTCATTTCCTTTCCCTTCCTTTCCATTTTATCGGAGAATACGGCGTGTCGTTCTCCGTCGTTGCAACTTGTCGCTTCTCGCGGTTTAAATTCGTTGGCTGGATCGTGCTAATCACGCTCTTCTCCGTCGGTGGACGAGAAGCAAGAGTAAGAGCGATCGTGGAATAATATCGGTAAAAGGCAGAGCGGTAGCAGACCGGCAGTCGCCTAAGTACGCCACGACGGCTGGCACGTTCATCGGATTTGTCCTTGGGGCCGAAGGTAGGTGCAGCTCGAAGTCCGAGGACGTGGCAACGCAGCGGCCAGGCTCCCCCTCCTTTGTCCGCCGGCCGGTCTTGCCAGACAGGGTGTCGCCAGCTCGGTCGGCCGGGCCGTCCGGGTTGCTGCGAGGGGAGAGAGGAAAGCAACAACCCGATGGTGCAAAGGGGCAAGGGGATTCTGTGGGTTAGTGTCTGTATAAGCGTGTGACGGAGCAGGCATTAGGGGGAAGGAGCACGTTATGAGAGGGAATCGTTCGGAACAGATTACACGGGAGAAACGGAGAGGAACGAGGATTGGAAAGAGAAAGGAAGAGGAGATCTTGTAGTTCGTAAGGTCGAACGTGTGTGCGTGTTATACGATCGGTCGTGGACCTACATTCACGCGGGTAGCCATGTTTGAAAACTCGCGTCCCGCTGGAATGTAGCCTGCAGGGGCCCCTTCGTTGATTCCCCCCCTCTCTCTCCTCTCCTTCCTCAACGCCACCCTATGCGATTCCCCAGTTCAGAGCTCGACAACGATGCTCGAACGCCTACCTTCGTCTCTACGGGTCCCTCTTTCTCCCCCATGTTCGTTTGCTTCGGCTTCGTAGCCTTCGCTTTCCTTGTTCTCTTTTCACGCACTCGCGCCTGTGTCCGTGCGTCTGTATATGCTACGCGTACACGTGTGCGTGAGCGCGCGCGCGCGCGCGCGTGTGTACGTGCGTGCGACAGTCAAAGGATAGAGTCAGAGGATCGAGAGTAAGAGTAAGCGAGATAAGGCACTTCTATTTACCACCGCCTCGACTTGCGACACCTCACCTTTGAGTTCTGTGTACCATACTACTCATGTGGCCCTTACCTACCTTACTTGCGTGGCAAGAGCCACGTGAGAATGCGAGCGTGAAAGAAAAGGGCGTAGCGGTCGCGATTCCTCGCAAAAAACGCATTAGACGGTTCTTTCCGTTATCCTTGTCTGCTCTACTCGGATATAGAGGCACCGTTCAAGGGTTCTTGGCAAACGCGAGACAGGCAGTCGCCTATGATACTTATTTTGCTCGGACGATTGATCGAATCTCGTCTGAGGCTGAAACTGTTCAAGTTTTCGTATAGTTGGCTTCTATCCAGTACGTAATATCACTTGGCCGCGTACGTCTGAAACGAGCCTCTGTGTCGAGCCTCGCTTTGTTACTCCATTCAACTAATTATACCTTCGTCTTCATATTTCGTCCGTATGATCGATCATTATCACCATTTTGCATTTTAATACGATAAATACTCTACAGGTAGCGTGCAACGACAACGCAATCGTACGTATTTGTTGAAAACGTAGCACTCGCTAAAATTGTAGGCCCGAGTTTATAACCTAAGTTTATTTACGTGCCGCGCTAACTGGGAGAGCGCCACACGTGCACCAGCGTATGCGCGTCTATCGCTGCGCGTTGGTGTGTGTGTACCGCACACGCCATCCCTCGTGCGTGTGTGCGCGCGCTTTAAATCTAATCGTATAGACAAACCGTAAAAGTTCTGTACGCGCGAGAATTCTCGAATCGGAAACATTAAATTTTAACCTCTAAGCGCATGCGTATGCAAGAGGTGAAAGTGGATTCGGCGCATCGGGACACGGGACGATACGCGTTCCGTGTCCCGAACAAAATCGCAGCCCTGATTAGCAATACGTATACGTAGGTTAAGCGTCACAGTTGGTCGCATCGCTCGTTTGCCCACGTACGAATGCAGAAATATACGTCTCCGTGGGCGGTCACACGATGGCGCCTACTCGCGCATACCTGCGTATACCTGTGAGTCCGAATCTAACCTCGCAAAACGAAATTCTCGTTTCATCGAGATTCTTCGATTCGTTCGCTCGCGCGTTCACCCATTCGCTTTCCCTCGTGCTATCTATCGTGCCAAGACAAAGAAGAAAAGAACGAGAGGAAGGAAAAGAACGCGCAGAAAGAAGAAGCGTTATCGAGAACGAACGCAAGGATCGAAGTGCACACGAGTAAAGCGAAACACAACACGCCCACGTTCGCGACTCTACGAGAAACGTACACATGCTAACCTTTATCTTATCATTGGCGAAGGCGTATCGAGGTTGACGAGGTTGCCATACGTTTGCTTTCGGTACGACGATGAAAGACAACGACGCGGATGACCACGATTCGAAACGACTACTAGCATCTTTCGTACTTCGTTTCCGCGAAAACCTTGAATTCGAGCACGGAATCGTTACGGGTGTAGCCTCTCTCTCTGACCTCGATGGCTGCGACGTCGCGATTCGCTTTATCGACCGAGCGGTAAAAAATTAAAGGACTGCTAAAAAGCCGCGCATTATCCGCTATTCGCTTTATCGACGCTCCAACGTTACATTCGACGAAACTTTTTATTCAACTTTTTCTTTCTCGTGATTTATTGCCGTTGTTGATTTACTCTACTTTTCTTATTTATATATCGATGCACGCCATTCCTCTCGAAAGATAAAATACTTTTTCCTTATCCCTTTCTTTTTCTTTTTCTTTCTCTAACTAAACCAAAATATTCGCTGTCGCTCGATATTTATTTCAATCTTTTCGAGCGCGTTTTTAAATCTCGAATTAGATTAATCGTATACGAAGTTTAAACGCGATTAACGACGCGCGCTGCTGTTGGAATGATTTAGTAGCTTCATCGGTATTGCAAAACCTCTTTTAACGAGCGGCTGAAAATATTTATCGTCTAGATAACCGCTGTCTTCGAGGGTCGAGAGCAGTTAAGCTCGTTAAATTTGTTATCGATTAACGCTAGCCTTTGAAACCTCATTAAAGCATGACTCGTCATCGATACACGGCTCAGCGGAACGTCTAGAATCCAGCGGGCACGTCGAAATCCGCGCGCCAATTGCGATTCGCGCGTTCTCGCGCTGTTTCGTCGGTAAATCGTGAAAATTCGATTCGCTCGAATGTTGCAACGGACTTAAAAATATGCTTTCGACGGATGCAACCGCGGCCTATTTTTAAACGAGGATGCCGCAATTATTTTTATCTAGAGTCAACTGACAATAATCGACAGCGAGCGTATCGAGTGATTCACATTATTACTTGTCGCAATAATAAACACGTACACGGTTTGATACGAACCCCTACACAGAGATCGATTAATCACAAGTTCCGTCCGATCACTGGCCGTCGACCAATTGTTTCGATTTGTTTACTCGCCTGGTTGTCCAAGAATCTCGTGGCACATCGATCGTCGATCGCCGATAACGATCCCCGTCGATCTCTGACATTTCCGCGAGAATTTCGAGACATTTGTAGAAACCCGACAGCATTCGCCACAGCGAAGGCTATTTAATTAAATTATCCGGATAAAGTCGACGTAAAGTCAATGTAAATCATCGAAGGAAGACAGGGAGGACGAGGTGTTTTCGAAATTGATCTTCGTTTAATTATTAAAACATTCGCGTACATAAATAGAGTACAAATACATGTGATATGGATGCCTGTATGTGTGTCTTCGTTTCAATACCTATTACGATCCAATAATATATACACTTGAGATTTTTCGTTGCTACCCACGAGGTTTGCTTCTTTCCAGAATCCATTTGAATCATCGCACCGATAAGTGTAGTCAGGAACAATCGAGAATAACATAGGGAAAAGGTTTATGCTCGCCTGCAGTTGCTGCAACCGTTTGCCTTTTTGCGACAGATATGACAGTGATATTTGAAGAGTATTCAATGCGATTTATACAGAGATGCGATTAAAATGTTGCTAGTACTTTATGCATTTTATAGTTGCATTCCTCGCTACTATTCTACTCCTGCATCCCCGACACCGAGACCACGATCTCCTCTCAGCCGTTCGAGTTACGTAAGAATTTCGACTGGCTGGCATTATCGCCGGAGTTTATTGAAAAATACATTTCGACATCGCTCGTTCAGGAAATTCCCATTGAAACGACTCATTCGTATCTGCGATTCTTCAGCAACCGCGCCGAATTGTTACGTCCGGTGATAAACGCGATCCGAACGGTGGATTCGACGCGAGTCGAATCGCCTCCGTGGAAAGATCCATGGCTCGATATCGAGGATTCGAAGTACCTGCACCTAGGAGTCCCGAAAGGCTAGTTTTCTCGCGGTCCATCTCGAGCGATCTGCCAGCTTCGACCAGCTTCGATTCCCCTGGTCGGTTCCTGCCACACGCGCTTCTTCACGCGGATTAAATTTTACCGTACACCTAGTTTTCCCTCTGCCAAACGATAACTATGATTCGAAGAAAAAGAAAAAAAAAAAAGAAGGAAAGCGCGAAGCATAACTCGAAGACCGAATCTGCGGATCGCGATGAAGAAAATGACCTTTCTCGTTCGTTCGCTCACTCTTTCTTCCATCTATGCTTACTCGCTCCGTTTATTTTCTACCTTAAACGCTAGTTGTATCGTTAGAGACGTTAGTGAAGCGTGAACCTTTAAATATCGCTAGTCTTGATACGGGTTACAAGTCGATTTCCGCGGAGTAAAAAATGTGGCTAGTTAGAGGGTGGTGCCGAACGATAGCCGATCGAGGGAGACGCTTATCTCGCCCGGCAACGAGCTGAAAAGTCAGCGGAGGTTACGATATCGGGCGACGCTGGGGGAGTGGAATCGTCGCCCGACCCACCTCGTTCTCTTTGCAACCCGATCAGAAGTAGCCCTTAAGAGATAAGACAGTTAGCTTGTGTCTAAGATGTCCTTAAATAAAGTGTACTTATTACAACGCTTGTCGTCAGGGTGTCCCTGGCTGTTCTTAGAGAAAAAGAACGTAGTAATCGCGGATCGGGGAACAATTTCCGTCCAATCGACGGATACTCATCGATCAAATGCATCAGTGTTTTTTCTCGATACGAGGAACGTGACGCCGAGAGACGTCGACGCGATTCCTTCATCTCACACAGTTTCATCGTCCTCGAGAAAATCCATGTTCCGCGACTCGCTACGAAATATTGCACGCAAGATCCCTGCGATCTTCGACCCATCTTCGATCTAAAAGATCCGATATGTACGATAAATATTATGTATAAATGAGTGGGAATGTCGGACGTAAAAAAAAAAAAAAAACTTGCGAAAGTGTAGAGAGATTGTCCCGTAAGATATTCTGAAACCAATGCGTGTCTAACCTCTAAAATCGATCCACGGCAGTACGTAAAACTAAATCCCCCGTCGCGAGGCGTTGCACAAGCGGCAAGCCTCGTGATTCTCGTCACCCGCCACATCGTTTATTGCCGCGTGTCCGCGTGAAATTATATTTAAAGTGTTCTATAATGAGTCTGCTTTAACGTCGTCAATGAAAAGATCTGCTTCGGAGCGTTGCGCAAACGTCTCGTGACATCCGCCATGCTCGGGCCCCCGATCTCACATTCCTTCCTTAAAGGCACCCTTCAATCTTCTCTCCCCTTCCCCTCCATCTCGTTACGCTCCTCAGCGTCTTATACGTCGCGAATTATTCTTGAAAGTGCCCAAGAGGGGCTGAGCCGAATTGCGATCGATCGAATTGCATCGCGAGACAGAGCGCGACAGAGTTTGAATATTCCCGCGTGATCCACGCGCATGTAAACGATGAGTCCTCGATCGTAACGAAGCATCGCGACAAACCCGAAACCCCGGGTCGTTCGAGACAGGAGCGTGTCGGCGTGTGGACAGCGTGGAAAAATGTGCACGCTTTTTTGCGTAACGCGGCTGTTCCGCTTCGCGGAAGCGCGTTTCGCGCGAAGCGTGAGTAATGTCGGGAATGACACCGCGAGGCCGCAATTTTTCCACGCGTCCACACGAACACGTGTCTCTCGGGTTCATCGCATGCGGTCTAGCGACACGCACGACGCGTTACGCCACGCGAGTTTCCACTTTATCCGGAGTTTCCCTTGCCGCGTCTCTCGTCACCACCTGAGCCTCTCGGTGGGTCCTGAGCCTCGACGGGGAAGTTTTCAGGGCATCATCTTGCGGGGTGACAGCCATTTCTTCATGTAGTAGCAAAAGATGGTGGAGATGTAGATGAGGACCAGCAGGGCGCACGTCACGCCCAGGACCAGCACCGAGGTCTTCGTTGGACAGGGTTCCACTATGGTCACCGTTTTGTCTGGAACACGAGCAATTGTTCGAGAAATTCTTCCGCTTTGGTATACGAGTTTGGAATTCCTTGGAAGGAAGGAGGAAAATTTCCGACGTAATTACCGGCTTCGTTGAAGTCTATGCTGGCATCGCTCTTCAAAAAGTCCGACTGTTTCTCATCGCCAAAGTCGAGGACGAGGATTTCCTGAGACAGCGTCATGTCCTCCGCCTTTTCCTCCGTCGCGTTCGCGATGCTTCTTCGACGCCTCTTGCCCCATGACTCTACGGATTCTCTTCCCCACTCGCAGACAGCCTGCAATCAATTACGTTCCTTCGTTTTCCGTTCCACCAGACGCCTGGATTACTACGATGTTCGATCAATTACCGGCTCGCACGGTCCCAGGCAGTACTTCACGTTGCATTGGAAGATCACGCCGTAAGACTCGGTGAATCTAAACGCCTCGTACACAGATTGAAGGGCGTTTCCGTCAGGTGTGAAACTCGGGAAGATCGATGGATCCACTGGACATCTGTATAATTGGATAATCAACCTCGTTACTATCTCTGATTAACGCGATATCGGGAAGAAAATTCTACCAACCCTTCGTCGTCGATGATCTGGAAAGTGCTTTTCGAGTCCTTCGCCATGGCGACGCAGCTTCGGGCGAAGATTCCATAGGGAGCTGCGAATGGAAAACGAGGGAAAGGTCAGGATCGCGATCAACTATTGGTCTCGGCGACGAAACGCTGACAAACACTCACTGTCTTCCGGGATTTCGATTCTGAATGTCAACTTGTCTCCTATACGGACAGTCTCGACTTCCCTGGACCTGCTGTCGAGGATACGGATCCTTGGCGGAGGGGCCTCCGGTGCACTGGTGATGCTGATCATTTCCGGGTCCCTGATGGGCATCATCCCGAAGGTGATGTTCTTCGAGGACATGTCGTACGTGCACTTCACCTTGTAGATCTTATCAGCCTTGGTCATCACCACGGAATGATGCTGGAGGACGACCGTGTTGGAGTAGATGCCAGTCTGAAAACCGTCACGCTGCCACGGTGAACGGATAGCTTGAACGGGGTCTAACGACTCGAGCGGATACATGGCCAGAGCGTGGACGCGTAGTACCGATCACTTACCACGCTTTGGGTGTTACAGTCCTGTCCGCTCATGGTCAGATCGAGCCTGAAGAGATCGCTATTAATCACATCGATGTTACAGGTTTCCGAGCGGCCGAGAGCGTAAATGCGGCCGTTAAACGGCTTGTTCGTACGAACCTGGACGGCAATTCGCGTGTCTTTGCAGTCGACGGATACTGCAATTACATTTTACGAGCCTTTATTATTTCAGCGTCGATAACGAGAATAGCACAGAGGAACGCGATATTTCTTTATCCACCAATTAACGGTTCAGCGTTTTCTTAATTACTATACGACCGCGTATACCCACCATCGTAGCAAGTACCAGTTTTATCGCAGTTTATGTCATTCCTCGTCAGGTTATTTATCGTCGGATCTTCGGTAGTCTCGAAGACGACCGGCAGCGGGTCCGCGACCGGGCCCGTACCCTCTGCGGATCAACGGAGGTAATAATATCGTTGAAAACCTATCGGAGAGGAATAAAATTCCCCTGAATAAAATAAGCTTCCGCTTACTTTCGCAGTAGTTCTCGAAGTAAGTTCCAACCCGCTCGCCGTTATCGATCAGCGGCCGTTCCGCGTTCAGGTACGTCGAGGGGCCATCTGGAAGAGTCCAATGATCCAGATGGAACAGCTGGCAATTGTACGCGGATCCCTGAGGGGCGCCGCGGTACAGGAAAGATCTGCAGAGGAACTCGTTCTCGATCTCGCAGGCCAATCTGCACGCGGACTCGCTCTGAACTTGCAGCTCTTTGTCCGTGTAATAATGCAACCCCGCGTACTGCGCAACCTTATCGTCGGCCACGCCGATTCGCGGCATCTGGAAGATCCTCTGAGATTTGCACGCCTCTTTCCC